CCAAGTAATGCCAGCCACAACATTGTGAATTCTTCAGGGAGGTGCCAATCTCATCCTCTTATCTCTCCCTCTTGCCTCAGATGATGAAAGAACATGTTTTTCTCCCTGAATCTGGCCTTCATAATTCCATTCCATCACAAATAGTCTCTTTATTTGTATGCAGTTGCCCCTGTAGCAATCTGCTACTGTATAGACTGTAGAACAAGAATTCACAACTTCCTCGGGCTGAAGGCTGCATTTAGTTTTTAATTAGCTGGCCAGAGAGACGAGTTGTACTTCAAAAAGTGGGACAAAGTAATAGATGGGGCCAGAACAAAAATTAAATCTATGTTAATATTGTTCATTAAATGCAGTTAATAGGGTTAGTACCTATGTATTTCATAATTTTCCTCTGTATCATATTAAAAATAATTTGGGATTTGGAGAATTAAGCAAGGACATGGAACCCTGAGTTGCTAACTTCTTGATTGGGCCCTGTTGCAAATACATCCAGATGAGATTCCTTGGATAGGCTACCTACTTTTTTGTCTTGGTTTCCTTTGATATAATATATTTCAATGTACATTTTTAAACAGCCCCCCTGGTCATAATTTCAGATTCAGATCTATTTAGTACTTTTACTTTTATTGATTGTAAGCCTTGCTTCAGAATTACTATTTCTATGTCAAGTTTCATCCACAGACCTAGTTAAGCTCTGTATCCCACTCCTTATCCTGGATTTGGGCTTCAACTTCTATCCCTTTAGTTTCATATCGCCTAGTGTTGTCAGTGTCTGAGTTTACACAAATGTTAACCTAGGGGATCACTAACTTTTTTGGGCACATTTGGGTTTTTAAGAGCATGTGATGAGTACTCTCACAACATTGTTGCCATGATGGATCATGCTAATCACAAACAACCATATTCCAGAAGGCACACAAAATACTCAGCTGTAGACCACCACCCCACACACACACATTTTATTTCCTAAGAATGCCTCTATGGATGATCTATGTATGGTAAGGCTATTATATCTGTGTAACAAAAATCCAAGCAATATTTCAATGGCAGCAAACAGATATTTTTCTGCCACCTAATAGTTGTCTTGAATTTTTTGCAGCCAGTTTTAGTAGCTCTTCATCATGGGTTAGTGTAATGTTTGAATCCAGTCTGTGACTTTAGCTATAACAGGATTGCACAGACATACAAAGATCACAGAAGAGTAAGTCTGCTAAAGTGGTTATTTAGCTAGTGGCTCTTTCTGACCTCTCTGGAAAAATGGCACCTAAAATTATAAAAACATTGGGAAAAGCTTTAGAAATAGGCTGGTTTCATTTAAAGTTATTCAACAACATGTTGTGAGTTCCTCCCAGCAGACAACTGAGTAAGATGGAACCTAACTCACAAATCATCTTCAAGCTGTCTCTGCAGAAAGTGTGAGTATATAAGCATTTCTGCCTGTAAGCTTACATATAAGCTATGAGGAACCACCAAATCCAGAAAGCTAAAATAACCTGAGAGCTGCATCCTACTTTTTTAGGCAGAAACATTTGCTAATGACTTTTCTGGTGCTTTACAGAAGACTCTTCCAAGGAAATAATATGCTCTTCAATAATAGCATCTTCATTAATGTCTGCCTTGCTTAAAGAAAAATATATTTCTGACAAATTACAAAAGTATACAGAACATATTCTTGTGGGCTACAAATGAATCATGATAACTTAACAATTTAAAGAGAAATTATTTTAGTGCATTAGTGGAGAACATTGATGGGGGAAATCACCACCACCCAGCACAGGGTCATACCTAGGTCTTTACAAAATAAACAGCTCTCATTCATACCCAACCAACATCAAAAAATCCTGTTAAAAAGAAATCCTGTTTCTGTAAGCATACTTACCTGGGTTGCAAAGTTTTTCATAACCGCTAGATAGCAGCAGAGAGTTAAAGTACAGTGTCCCATATCTCTTTCCTGCCATCTCATAGTCATCTGGATTTTCACAGCCCAAATGTGGGATACCTAATTTCTCCTCCCTGCATATTTTGGCACTATATTTACCAGATACAGTATATTATATAGTACAAATACTATATAAAATCTTGCATCACTAATACTTACCTTTTTGTAGGAAAAACCTCTGCCAAAACTCCTGATCTTGTCTATTCCAGATATGGTGGATTGCAAATCCCAGAATTCCCAGTCAGCAAATGTCACACTGGCTGACAGTCCTAGAAAATGCAGCCAGACACAAGTGTTGACAAAGTAAATCTAACTGGTTCCCATGGGAGTACTAAACAATGTTGTCTGTGTGCACACACACACACACACACACTTCCAAATCCATTCTTGATCAAACATTATTTAGGGAACCAGAGGATTCTCAATTTCTTAGCTGAATAGCCTGAGGCAGCTGAAGGACAGAGTTCCCTCCTTCTGCTTATGAGTCATCCTGGTTTAGTTATGGAATTTCATTTTTTCCAATATTTTCCTACATTTTTTCCTCAGAGCAACAGAACAAAGCAAGCCTCTTTTTTCCTGTCCCTCCCTGCATATATAATCTCCACCCTGACTGAAATCTTTCTCCTCCCCTCTCAAATGAAAAAAGGGCCTTTTCCAAGCAAAAAGAAACTGCTAGAAATCAACACAACCGCTCTTTTTAACCCCGTCATCTGACAGCAGCAATTTTTGCCTCAGACCCCAGTGCCCAGCTCAAATGCCGGACAGCCAGATAAACCAGGAATAAATTCAGAATCCACATGGTCACTAGAGAAGCCCCGGACATTGCTTTAGCCACCCCCTGAAGTAAGTGATCAATGATTTTTTCATCATGTTTTGTTTCAGTTTTAGGAAAACAAAGACTTTTTATAATTAAAAACATAAAAAGCAACAGAGAAGTAAGCGTATCAGTTTATAATACAAGACCCTCTCCACTTCCTGAAGAGAGTGTGTTGCATCTTAATACGGTATTAGCTTTGTTTTCAGCAGGAAATTAGTTTGAGTTGCTATCAGATGCCAGACTAGAAATAGATCAGATTTTTCTCTTGTTTTCTCAAACCACCAAGAGTTACCAAAGCATTTTTTTCAGCAGTAATAAACTGTCAAGTCCTTTACGTGGCATATTACAGTGTTGTTGTTCAACTTTAAAACAATGAAAATTAAATATTTGCAAATCTGCAAGTTTGAATCATGGACAGGATATGATTTTTGGGTTGGGTTTTTGTTTTTTGTTTTTGTTTTAATTTTAGTTAGTTTGTAACATTTAGGCATTGTTCTAAGGGTGGGGCTCTATGCCACTAGGATGACATGTATTTTTCTTGGCATTTATGTCCTAAATGACATTACTACACAAGAATAATTGATTTCACTACAATGAACAAAGAAGAAATATTGACGTGAAAATTACATAGCAAATGGGTGGAGACAGAGAAAGAATGGGACAACTGGTCTACTTTTTCCATTCTCCCAAGCTACAGCTTCCATATGGAGATTTAAGGCAACAAAAGTTGAAACTTTTGCCCAGAAGAGAACTGATCTGGATTCAGCCTCAAGAGAATGTGACTCAGGCATATATGTGCATGTATAGAAAGGAGTTTTTCTATATCAGTTAGATAATCCATAATAAATTACTATGATTGTGTATACTGAACTTCATATACAAGGATTGCAGGTACATAAGTGTTTAGATTACAACCCTTAACTGATAGATAATAAATGAAGAAGTTATTTAACTAACACTGGTAGGAGAACAATTTCAACCAATGAGAACAAATTTAATTCAATGGGGCAATATCAGAGCTGCCCATATCTGAACAGAGCCTGATCATTTGATATTTCCTGCTCCATCAGGGCTGCTGATCAGAAAAGGAAAATGTAGGTAGTTCAGGCAGACTAAAACTATGAGTGAGAATCTTCCAGACTATCCTTCCCAGACCTGGTGCCTTCCAGATCTCCTAGGACTTCAATCTCCAGAATTCTTGGTCAGCATGTATTATTGGTCTTAACACATCAGAGTCCTAACACATGTGGGAAAGATGCTCCAGGTGCCAGGAATAGGATGAGTTGGGAAACCAAATCCTCTGCCACTGTAAGTTGCATAGCTGAATTGGATAATTCTTTGCTAATGGAAACTTCTACATTGCTTCACTGTACTGCCTCAATGTACTTTACACATTCTCTTCATTTGTATTAAATCATCCATCCTACCTAAGCCTACCAACATTCATGCCTGATAGACTGAGAGTTTATTTTGAAGCTATTTTGATTCTGTATCATTACATTCGTAATGAAATCAAAATAGTAATAGCCTTTCCTTCTACAGATGGGTAATAATTTTTCTTCTGTTTTATCTTTGATTCACAACGTATATATTATCTAACTGTTCCTTCTCTTTGGCAAGAGTGCACTTTGAAGTTTCTGTAATATGCATATTTATTTATATCTAATGTTTAATCACTCACATGACAGATGTTTCACTAAAATATTTAAATGGGGAAGCAAGCCTAGTAAATAGTGTATGTTTTGAATGCAAGCTCTACTTCCAGGATGGCTTTAAATGAGCTTGACTGATCATGGGGATGCAGTGGTGTTTGGAAGCTTCCCAGGACCCAAAGAAACCATGTATGTATCATACTTATCTTCTGGCAATTTCAGTTAATGCTAAGCAGGCACTCCTGAGCTGATGCAAGACACAACTGTAGTCAGGCCCTTGGAGACCGTGAAGATAATTTTTTCCAATACACGGACGTCTAAAAGAGGGGGGAATAGTACTTTCATCGTTAATTTTAATTTCCTTGCTGCTTCCAGAAGAGAGGATGAATTGAAAGAAAGTTGAGAGGTACTGTTTTATGGGCTAAATTCCTTCAAGTGTGTTACACTGCAGTTATTTCAAAAGGGAAACAACATAATAGATTCCAGCTAGAAAAGGCAGGAACTTGGCCCCAAACAGTTAAAAATAGCAGGCTAAAAAAAGCAAAAAAGTCTCTCTTGAAAAAGCAGAAACCTAGAGAAACTCCAGCAAGTCTTATATGCTGTAGATTGAGAGAAAGCAAATAAAGTGTTACGGAATATATTGCTGAAAATACATAAATTGAATGAATAAAAGTCTTTGCAGTTCTGTGTCTTGCAGTGGTTTTGTATAAAATAACAGTAAAACAAACCAGGATAATATTTTTACAGCTAAAAATTAGGGAGCAGAAAGGAAGAATAATGGAACATTTTTACAAATCTGGGTTAGGAAGTAAAAGTTATACCATGCAATAGAAGCAATTCTATAAACATATTGGTAAAATATGTAAAATCCAGTTTGAGTTAGAAGATAACATCAAATTATCCAAGGTAATCACAGCCAGAGCTACAAAAACTCCCAAACTGAGGGCATTAACAACAGAATAGCTGATATTGTTCAATTTATATAGGCATCCCAGTTCTCTAGCATGACTTCCTTTGGAAACTACCTGACTGGCATTTTGTAACATTTTTATTTATAAAAGGGTGGGTTGATCATACAGTTTAAACCACCTCTCCAACAAATGTCTCAGAGTCTGCTCCCCACCAACATTTTTCAGAGCTCCCAAAACCTCCATTCTCTCCTCTGACTTGAGTGTGCCCTTTTCATACACATACCTGGTTGACCTTATTTCTTAGGAAAGAAGACAGATGTTGGGAGAAGACATATGTGGAAAGACATTTAACCTGCTGGAACAGTTACTGATCACCGGTGACAAAGAGAGGATATTGGGCACTTTGCCCAGTCTAAATTCATCACGTTTACCTCTAGCTGCCCTACCAGTTTGGAGGACTTGCTCACACACATGCACCCACACCCCTTTACCAACCAAGGGCTTTTCTGCAGGCTGCTTGATTAAATGAAGCCTGCTCAAGAAACCCTTTCTGGGATTCCTTCCTTTTCTCCCCATTAGCAATGGTGATGGCCTGGTTTTCTGCCCACACTGCTTTTACTGTGACTTCAGTTGATGGATACCCTGCTTGTTATCCTTTCCTTCTGCCAAGGGAAAGAAAACACCAATTTCTTTCTTTCTTTTCCTTTGGGTCAACCTTTGAGGACATGTGATTTCTATTGATAGATTTTTTGCCTGAACCCACCTCCATTGACTCACCCTTGTACATCTTCCCATCTGGTGCACCCCCCGTTGGCCTGGCTAAAAAAAGAAAACACTACCACTTTACGATTCTTCCTGTCCCTTGGAGTAGAGGGAAAACTGGTGAAAATCTTATCAATTTCACTTGGTTAAAAAACTAATATAATAACCCCCCCTAAAAAAAACCAGTTCCATCAGTGCACTGGTGAAAAAGAAAAAAGGAAATACTGACATGGTATTTTCCCTGAACTAAGATACAATCAAATGGCCCATTCCAAGCAGTTACCTTGAAGTTTTCACCACTTTGCAATTTTTAAGATTTGAAATTCAAGGAATGAATTCTGTGTTATACATAGAAATCACTAGCTATGATCCCTTCCCTTGGCATTTTTTTTTTGGTGCCACAAAAATACCTCATTAATTATGCTGTCAATAAAGGGAATTCAGTGATACGTTATACACACTACAGAAAAGAGGAACAGTGGCTTCACAAATTAGCCATTGAGCCATGTCATCAAAGGTGATAAATTCAAGTTATCCTTGTTACTCCTCTTGATTCAAGTTAGTCAGACAATAACTACTTACTCCCTATAATTCATCAAGTGCTGTAAACTCAACCCAGCAGTAAATTCATGCTAATAATTTAATGCTGATAACATCATAGTTGTAGAGCCATGACAAAAATGAGAATCCTTCTGCCTCAGTATCACATAGCAGAACAGTCAGGACCCAAGATTAACAGCACTGCTTCCTCAGCTCTAAACATTTTATTTCTTCCTTGCAAACTTCAGATCTCCAGGGTCATTAAACAAATAGCAGCAAATTCATGGATAAAGGTAAGACAAACCTGACTGTTGTTTTATAAGATGGAGAATTGAGGGTAGACCAGCAGATAGCAGGAGGGAATGGAAGAGAGCAGATGAAAGTTGCATCTATTATTGCACATTCTCCATGTATGAGAGGGAAATAAATGAGTACTTTTTAGTGGGGATAGGTCATGGAATAAAATGTATAACCGTTTAGCGTACAGCACACATTGTATATTGAAATAGGATAAATTCCTATATATTTACTGTTTACAAATTTCTTTCCTAAAATTTTAGCTGTTTTTAGGATATTTAACATGTGTGAGCAGTGCTGAAAGGTGTTACCTGCAGGAATTGTAAACAAGATGCATTGTTTTCTAATACAAGGTTCATAGGCTGGTTAGTTTACTTATTAAAATATATAATTGGAATAGATGTGGATATCTCTTGATCTTTGGTAAGCATACATTTTTAAAGTTCACAATTGTTAGTAATGATTCTATTCTTACAGTCAATGAAGAGGTGAAAAGACCAAGACTTATTTCTGTAGACATCTCCTCAGCATCACAACACTGAAAGCTCCAATTGAACCCAAATAAAATGGCTGCTCTTATTGCTGAAAATTTCCGCTTCCTTTCACTCTTCTTTAAAAGTAAAGATGTGATGATTTTCAATGGCTTGGTGGCTCTGGGTACTGTTGGAAGCCAGGAACTGTTCTCTGTGGTTGCATTCCATTGCCCATGTTCCCCCACTCGGAATTACATCTATGGTCTGGCTGCCATAGGGGTGCCTGCTCTGGCCTTATTCCTGATTGGTGTAATCTGGAACAACCACACTTGGAACTTGGTGGCTGAGTGTCACAAGCGAGGAACCAAGAACTTTTCTGCAGCAGCCAACTTCTTGATCTTTGGATCTGTCATGGGAAGAGCTGCAGTGGCTCCTGTTACATGGTCAGTGATCTCACTGCTTCGTGGAGAAGCCTATGTCTGTGCCTTAAGTGAATTCATGGATCCTGCTTCCCTGGATCATTTTCCACCTGGCTATGGACCAGATATCATGGCCAGGTTTCCTTGCAATGATCTGCCAGCCAACATGACACATTTTAAGGATGAAGTTGTAAGACGATTAAAATATGAGTCACAGGTAATTTATTTATTTATTCTATGAAATATTAATGTATTTACATATACTTTTATGCTACCCTTGTTCCAAGAAATAATCATAAAGTAAAATCCCAACATAAACTCCAATACTCACTAACCCAGATCAAGAACGTGGCATGCTACAAACAATAAGTCATCAAAATGCAAGAAGTATAAAAACTGAACACAGCAGCCCAGCCCACCATAAAAACCAAAGAATAACAGTAAAAATCCCCAACAGCATCAATCCATATCCCTTGCAAAACCCTGCTTAAACAGGATAGTTTGGTAGGTTCTGTTCTTCATTGTAAGACAAGTATGGTTATCCATCCAAAATTTTTATTATACTAAATGTTTTTTCCAATGCAGTTTGTAAGCTCATCTCCTAAATCTTAATAGCCTCCAGAGCAATTTTGAGGGTGTACAGAGAACTGCAGAGTCAGTTGGGTTGCATGAAAGTCCACTCAAACAAAACTGATTATCTCCAGATATTTATTCCATAAAAATCCTCAACTATTACTTAACTGCAAGGTTTGCATTTTATAGTAGAACAATGAAGTTCTACTATATTTATTGGTTTCACCATTATTTACTTAAAAATGTAACTGAACCTGGAGGTTTCAGAGCTTCATCTATACTTTGGAGTGCAACTTTTACTTCAAGGGAATAAAATAAAGGTAGGCTTTCTTATCAAATCCTGTTAAAAATCAAACCAGTCCAAACCATGTTCTATTTCTACTCTCCCCTTCTCTTCAGCTCTTTGGATGGATGCTCATTGGTGTGGTTGCAGTTCTTGTGTTCATCACCAAGTGCCTAAAACATTGCTGCTCACCACTCAGCTACCGCCAAGAGGCCTATTGGAACCAATACCGCTCTAGTGAGGCTAGGCTCTTCCAGAGGACTGCTGAGGTACATTCCAAGATTGTGGCTGCCAACAATGTCAAAAACTTCTTTGGCTTTGTATATTTAGATAAAGAGGAACAAGAACTGGTACAAGCATTTGATGTGCAAAACGTTCAGCCCAGGCCACAATGGGATGCCATCACTGGAGTCTACATCTATCGGGAGAATAATGGGTACCCCCTCTACAGCCGCCTCCATAAGTGGGCCAAAAATGTAATGGGAAACAGCCCTAATCCTGATACCCAGGAAACAGCCTTTCTAGCTACCTAATATCTACTCAACAGCAATCCTACCAAGCTTAACAGAAATCACTTTTGAGCACTTAGGCAGCTATGCTGAAAAGTATCCAACAATTGATTTTATACTTTGACCAAAGTCTCAGAAAATATACAGCTGATAGATTCAAATGAATTACCTTACAGGTGATACAAATGTATTAGGTCTTGTCTCATCAGAAATAAGTCTATTAAGTTCAGCGGGGTATCGTCTTACATAAGACTACAGTTTAAAAGTCTGGTACCAAGTAATATTGAGGGGGGGAAAGAACATTTTTCCAAATATCTGCCCAACTGAACAGGAAGCTATTCACCAATGTAAAATTTCAGCAAATATGGTAATTGACAAACAAGTATCTTTCAAACCAGCTTGACATACTGCCTGAAAATATACATTATTTCCTTTTCAGATGAAAGAGAAAAAAAATCCTGCTAATTCTTATTTGTCTCATTTGTAGCTCTGGTTGCTAAAGACAACAGTCACACTAAGTTGCCAAAATATCCCTTTTGTCATATAGAGTTATTTTTAAAATCTGCTCTAATTTCTCCTGGTCTTTCTTTTCTGTATACATTTGGTCAATTTGTCAATGAAGGCAAAATTTTTAATGCAATAAGCACTGCTTGAGTTGTCATTTCACAATCTTAATTCTACTAAATACTAGCAATCATATTTTAACAACTATTAACATTCAGCTTACACTTTGGCGTTTAAGACATTCACAAGAAGATGTATATGGGATTATCACATTGACTAAAATATGAAAAACTGGGTGGCAAGACAAAACCAATAGTGGTTAAGAACTGGATTAGAACTAGGAGGACCTCAGGCATAGGAACTCATTGGATAATTTTGAGCCAGTAACTATAAGCCCAGCCAACTTTACAGGGTTGTTGATGCAGGCAAAAATGGGAAAAGGCCATACTATGTACACTGCTTTGAACTCCTGAAGAAAAAGCAGGATATAAAATAAATCATTGAGACTATTCAAATGTCACAAACCAAAATATATACGCCCTGCTGTTTTCCTCCAAGGTATATGACTGTCACTTAATGGCATAAGTGCAAAAGAATAAATTATGGATACCTCCCCAGGTCACAGAGTTATACTATGCAAATGCCATGACACTGCAAATATTTTGGCAAGGACTAAAATAATTTACAGGAGAATGAATCAGGACCACTGAGTTTTTAAAATAACAGATGGAAAACTGTACAGAAACTGCTAATTGTTTAGAAATTGGTTGTACATTGCTCCAACACTTTAAAAAAGTTATTCAGAAGAAGGCTGATGTTTTTAGCATATTTATAGAAGCTCAGAATTCTGTAAATTGAAGATGTAAGATAGGGCTTATAAAAGAAAAATTGAGTACAGTATTTCCCAATTAAGCTATGATTGTGAGACTACTGTAATTAAATGAAATTGCAGAACTTTGCTCCTGTAGGCAACAGCCTTTTAATATAGTCTTTAAGCCTTGAATATATTTTATAGGATACTTAGAAAGCAATACTGTTATTATTTTCTAAGCCTATACCTGTGTAAAATACAAAATATTAAAGAGGTGGAGGAAAGAACCCAGAACCACCCCTTACCACTCTAACCAGGAAAATATATATAAAGGAAATTTATATAAATAAATGCATGAGTAGAAACATCCATAGAAGAATGTAACCAAGCAGTTGGCTGCTTTCTCCCAATTATTAATTTTATATTTTTTAAAAAATCAAGAATCAAATAAGGCTACATATATAATTATTTTATTTAAATTTGGGGGGAAGAGTATAAAAGGTATAAAACATTTACATGAATTACGGTGTTAATAACTTCTGGTCCTGACTAATCCAATCTGTTATTGAGATCACTGGGAAATGCAAAAATGTCTGCTTCCCTTTTCAACATACTGGGATTGAAAGCAAGACCCCAAAGTCTGTCTACCGTAAAGGTTAGTTCTCAGCAAGGCTGTTCTTGGATTCCACATACTCCAATGCTGCTGCCTTAACAGCCTGGATTGTTTCCACCGTGCCATACTTCTTCTCATACTCCAGATAGCGCTTAAAGAAAAACTTCATCTTCTTTGCTGCTAAGTTTAGGTGAATCACTCTCTCAAAAATATCCCTGTGAAAAACCCAAAACAATATTCAGAACACAGTTTTTAATCTCATATTTTCTGAACTTTTTCTATTTAAAATGACTAAAATTGTTAGCTGGATTCCTCCTATAGGAAACATACTTCTGGTACAAATTCTTTAGGTTTCTCATCTAGTACCCTGAAGCCTTCATTGTAACTTTTCCTTGCCAAAATCCAGCCTCCCTGCTTGCTTTAATTTTAAGGCTAATACACATTCCCAAGCTTGCATTTGCCTCTTTGCTGGAAACTTAGAATCCTAGCCTTCACGCACATGCTAATACTCACCGGACTTCTTTTTGGCTGCCATATTTTATCATTACATCTATGTACACTGACCAGATGTCTGTACGTTTTGGGTATGTGCTCAGGATGTTTTCAAACATGGCCTTGCCATGCTCTGCATCACCAAACTGAAACTCCAACTGTGCCAACTTTGAAATCACATCCACATCTGCAACAAGAAGAAGAAACAATTTAAAGGATTCTTTCCACTGGTCATTATTACTTTTGCCTAAAGTCTAAAGATGCAGCTATTATTTAGAAATATGCTGTAAGATACATCCTCACTAGAGGAATTCTCAGAGCAGATTAGCAAACAAGGTGGAAAGGTCTAATTGTTTATTAAAAAGTGCATACTGAATTTGTTTCTCTGTATTAACTTGAAAGAAAAAAAGAATAAATTTATTAAGAAATGGAGGTAAAAAGTTCATGGGAATGGAAGAAAATGACTGAAAGAGGCAAAGATGTGGATTGTTATAATATAGATAACATAGATATTAATATACCCAAATCTAATTGATGGCCCAATGGGGAAGATATAGTGATCACTATTCAAGAGAAGAGAAACCAAATAACTCTTACGCTCTTTGTCTGGCAGGCATTTCAGTGCACGTGGCATAAGTCTGTGAGCTGCCTCCACCAAACCACGTTTCAGAAGAAAAGTAGTGTATTTCACCCACACAGACTTTTCCTGACGGAAGCGTTTCAGCATTGTGTTGTATAGGTCATCAGCTTCCTGAATGGATCAGCAGAAAGGACAAAGGCTCATCCTAAATATGCAAACATTTTTACTTCATATTGCTCCTAAATTACAAAGGATATTCTAGCTTGCTTTCACAAACATATACTAGGAATACTCCTGGATTTCCTATCCTATCTTCTAATCATGATAGAAATGGCTAGTAGTTACCCTTATGCTAAGAGATTTAGATGTTTATGTGGGGCTGAACAGATAAACAGACACAGCTTGAACACAGCTGTCTACTGTTCTTTTCAGTCTTAAAAGTTCTACACTATTAAAACATTCCCCAAGCTTTAATGATTCAACATCTGCTCAGAATGCCAACTGCTACTCTAGAATCTGACCAGCAATTCTAAATTCAGTACCAAAGGGTTGAGGGGGAAATCTTCTCTCATATTTACAAAAAGAAATAATATACATTAAGCCTGTGTAAGTTATTTAATGAAGTGCTTCTCTGAGCACAAGCTTAATATATAACTACATATGCTGCTGCTTCATCATCAACTGCCAATTCTGCAATCTTCGAATATAGATTTCATAGGTCCCAGAGCACATTTTGCATCCAATCATCCAGAGCAAGAGGCAATAATCTGACACTGAAAAGAGCCATGTAGAGATAAGCTACCTGCTGCTCCAAACAGATGCAACATCCACAAGTCCAAAGCATAAAGGGAAGTCTAGGACAAGCTGGACCAGCTTAGGTACATTCATTCTTAAGATGAGACAAGTATTCTTCCTGTCACACACACACACAGATGAGTAAAAATGATCATTCTCTTTATCATGCTGCTGTAACTGGCATCACCTTATATTTCTCAGAAGCACTGTAGATGTCTGCCAATTGCTGGAAGACCTTCAGAGGCTCATTGTACTGAATTGCTCTTTCAAAAACTTTCATCAGTCCTTCCTCTGTGCCATACATATTCTCCAGGTTCAGCAAAGCGACCCACACATTCAGCTTTTCTTGTTCCTCTCTGAAGAAGAAAGAAGACAAAATACTATACAAAGACCAAAGCTGTCTTTTGATGTTGCTATTCCTCTCATTTTGTTTCTGGCTAGTTTGTACTGAATTACTGGTGTATTTGGAGACAGGTAAGAGAGAAAAGTTGCATTTTCCCCTTACTCTGCAAGTATTTTATTTTAAGATCCAATCAAGCAAAATACAGCATGGATGTGAGCTGTTACCAAGTAAACTAAAGGTCAACAGATAAGAAAAGTCACCTAAAGGAGATGGTCTTAAGTGCTCTTTCTGCAACAGCTCTAGCTTTTTCTATCTCTGTAGCTTGGAGATGAAAAGCCATGAATTGTAACCAAAGGATGGAGCTATCAGGACTGCCAAGGACCAAACGGTCAAAGTCATCTGCTGTCTGTGGCTGCTGCTTGGGATCCATTAGGGCAGCTTCTAGCTTGGAGAGTTCCTTCTCTGCCTTTTGCTTCTCCAGCTCCTGCTTCTTTTTTGTTTGCTTCTTGGCCTTAAAAAAAGAAAAAAGAGAAAGACCTTGACCACTGGAAAACCTGCAGTGCTGCAAGATAACTGTTGTGATCCTGCTGCGCTCACACACACGCACAAAGGAGTCTATACTCTGGTACAGCAGCAGCTTGCCTGACAGCAGCTTTCTTGAGTCTGGTCCGGCAGTGCAGAAGCACAACGTAGCATGAGACAGGACACCCAGCAGCAGAGACACAGGCAAGACACAACAAGACACGAGTAATTACAAATGAGGCAGGAGGGGGTACTAGATGGCTGTCATCCCTGAAGCCTCCCCTTCCATTTATAACGACATCTGGTGTTCCTCATTTTGGAGGGCAAGGCTCCCTTCTCGCGAGTAGCCTCACCAAACGCCTCTGCAACATTCTTTTTTCCATGCGCCTCATCCTCACATCAGGAGGTTCCACATCTTCCACCTCATTATCAGAGACTAACTCCAGCTGCAAGCTGTCCAACCCCACCTCTGACAGCTCAGCCTGCTGTTCATCTGGTGCAGCCTCCGACTCTGACTCCGAATTGGACTTAAAGCCGCCCACGACAATAACATAAGACAAAGTGGGGTGGATCCAAGAGCCAGATACTGCTCTAGGGGCCAGATGATAGTACAGGTCATGGCAAAAACCCTGCCCTTTTCACATGTCTCTTATGGAGGATCTGTTTAAAGCCCCAGAAGCACCCTTACATCTTCTTCCAGACAGAAGTTGCTTGAAAGTGCTCCCAACTGAATGGGCCTCCAAGTGCCAACCCCTGAAACTGGATCCTATCCAGTGGCTCTTCCAAATGGGAAAATCGCTAAGGATGTGGCATTTGAAAGCCCACCCAGCTGGAAGCATTTTTAAATGCTGCTTATGTAAGAACTGGCTTTGCCTGATTTGTATTTTACTCCTTTGGGAGAAATTCTAGTGCCTTAAAGTGCTGGTTTCCCAGTCAGGAGACAGGTCTCATTTGTGAGGCAGTGGAACCGACGGGGTGTCTTGGTAGTCTAGACTGGATCAGTGAGTTAGAAGTTTTCTATCCTTGTTATAGAGGGATGACACTCTATCTCTTTCAAACTTATTCTTAACACCAACTGTGCCACAAAAGTCCTTCTTGTCATTATGCCACCCTTTGCATTATTCCATTGTCCACCTTTATATCCATGGCTAATATGATACAATATTCTGCAGTGCAAATAATGTCCATGTTAGCCACAGACACATGGAGGACAGATAAGGGGGTTTGGAGAACAGGGGTATAACTAAACATTTTATTTTATTTTTTTGTCATTTCCAAACTTAGAACTCTTTCTTCCTCCCCTCTTTATATTTATTTGTGTTTTTAAGTGTTGTAGAAACTGCCACAAAACTTTAAAAAGTAAAAACAAAAATCCGCAGACATAAAAAATTAGCTGTGCCTACAAAAGTATTCCCTTTTCAGAGTTACATATCTCAGAAAAATATTATTGTATATATGTATATGTGCATGGATATGCTTTATCCCAGACACTCTTCTCAAAAACAAACTTCCTGTCATGAAGAAACCTGCACCTGGGGGAGGGGAGACAGAAATTCAGAAAGTGCCACAGGGATTTTTCTTATGGCTGGCTATACCACAATCACTTAACTTTATAAAGAAAAGAATCTCACACACACGTCCCCAACTACATGGGCTCTTTTACAGAAAGATAACTGAAAGGCAACTACACCTAACTGCCAATTACATACAATCAATCCCAAGAGCAAACAGTACAGAAATACTATACCACGGATTCTGCCTCATCTTCTTCCTCGCTGTCTGAGCTGTGCTCCGTCGGTCTCAACGTGGTTGCATCCAGCACATTTAAGCCCTCCTCCCACTTAAAGCTGCTTAAAACCTTCAGTCTTGGAACTTCTTTTTCCTGCTGAAAGAAAAGCAGAAATATGTACTCGCACCCATCATCCCACTAGGTTCACAAATATGGCCCTCACCTGTCAAAAGGCCTACCCTTTCCTGCAGCCTTTTACCTTCAACTTTCTCTTATGCTTCTTCTCCTTCTCCTCTTCTTCCCGA